CTACATCACCAATCTTCAATCGCCATCAATCGTCGAGTCTTCAAAAGCTTCTAGGACAACGGTAGAAAAAGGTTGAATAGTGCATCATATAGGCCCGCACTGACACATGTTCAGTCTTTTGACAGAATACAAAAATAAGACAACAAATAAACAATTAAATAACACGGTATGAACTCGAAAAGTCAAAAAGATGTGGGAGAGTAATATAAGAACAAAATGAGAGACAGTTTTCCTTAAGTCTTGTGTAACTCGTAGAAAAATTATGAATTATCATGAGTTTGGAATATGATTAATACTAGTGCGCATTTTGAGCGATGCACTGCTTCTTATTTAATTTTTTTTTAAATTTCATTTTAAACATAATTATGTAAATTTAAGATCTTCTTATTGCAAAAAAAGAAATACAAAATATGAAAGATTATATATTATTTATTTAAATATAATAAGTATCACCAAACAAACTACTAATATGCAACACATGATATATGATAAAATTAATTATATGAATCGTCATGCTTTTTAAATATATATTATAAATATGAGAGATTTAAGATTTGTATTAAAATTTATAATTTGGATCTGAGACGAAAAATGAATGTGAACAAAAAACAGGTACCAAGAATTCACATAACATGAGATTCTTTCTAACCTTTATAAAATTTTGTAGTTAGATGAATATGGACAAAAAAATCATCAATTTTGTTCAACAATTCGAAATATAAAAATTAATCTTTGAAATTAACATTATTTATTAAATATATACAAAATTATATTTTCTGACCATAAAATATGAGATTTGTAGATAGATAAATATGAATAAAAATATATAACAATTAAGTTGGCATGCCTTTTCGGAAAGATTTCAAAAAATTTCAAACGTTTTGTTAAATGATTAATCAGATTTTTGTAACCAAATTTACACGTTTGACCCAAAAAATTTAATGAATTGATTGATCGAATTTTTTGAAAGCAAGATTTTTAAAATTATTTCTCAATATTGGCCAGTTTTGCCCGTAACATTTAAGGTAATCGGTGTTCATATTTTAGGAATTAAGGTTTACACAATATTTTTCCCAAATAACATTTTTTTTAAATTTGAATTTGAATTTTTATTTAGCCGCCATTTAAAAAAAATACCAAAAATAATAATATTGAAAATTTTAAACGGGAATTTTAATATTATTGCAAGTAAATCATTCTCTCTATTATATAGTAATAAATGTAAATATGGAAATAAAAAAATGTTAGTTTTATTTAAAATTAATAATATTGTAATAGGTATTCTTCAATTGAAATTGTTCAGCGTGAATATATTCTAGATTTTATACTTAGAACCATAAATAAATATTGCCTTACTAGATCTTAGATAGATGGAATATGAGTGCATAATACAGCCAATTTTGCCTGCCCACGTTTCTATTGAAGTACTAAATATATGTTTTACTTCAATTATATCCAATCCATAGTTTGCTGATCAGCTACTAAACAGCTACTTTCTTGGTAGAGTTGACTTCGGGAGGGGGTTGTAATTTTCTTGTGGCATATAATAAATAAATATATGTCCCTAATATAAAAGGCTCACGAAACTCGAGCCGTCAAAATCACAAAAACAGAGCGTGGCATGCATGAAGAGCACCAAAATGACTCAATTCGTGACAAAGATTATTAATCAATACGTGCAAAACTTAATTTTATCTCACGCGGAGAACGTAATTGTTCCACCTTCATATACGTGATGATACCATCGCATTTGTGTGTGCGTGTAAATATGTGCGTGTGTGTGTGGAGAGAGAGAAAAAGAGGAATAATGTAAAAGAGAGTAAAGTGTAAAACATAAATTAACCTCACGAGAGTGTAACACACAACATTTAATGAGAAAACCCTAGTCCCATAAATTCAGAGACATGCCCATACAAAAACCTAGATATTCTAGGTAGCTGCCTTTGCTTCCTCTATAAATAACAAGTGAAGTAAATTGGGAAGTCAAGAGATAATCAAACCAAAAAACAAGCAACCAAAAGATACCCAAATTAACTAAGCATACTTCTTGCCCATATCAACTATGTCTCACATAGCTGTCGAGAGGAATCGAAGAAGGCAGATGAACGAACACCTCAAGGTCCTACGCTCCTTGACTCCGTGTTTCTACATAAAACGAGTACGTAAATTCCTTTCATATTCGCCTTCTTGATTTATATGTGTGTGTGTGTTTGTGATGTTAGTGAATTTTGAGGATGAGATGATATTGAAAAAGTTCCATATGAAATTGGATATAAATTCATCTACTAATGAACCAAACAGAACTTAAATTTAACTTCACTTTAACCCAATTCTATTATCCTAAATTTTATCTATATAATTAAATAGTATTAATCAATCATCATTACACATCACATCTACTTTATTTTATCATTTATCTACTCACATAATTTTAACTAACTATCACATCAAATCATCTTACATCAAATCAATTTTAATTATTTTATTTTAAATATTATTTTAATATAAACTTAAACTTCCACTAACAACTAGCTCTACCACCTTTTTTAAAATTAAATATGGTTAACAAAAAATTTAGTAAATAAACCAATCAAATTCATATCCAGTCACACCCTTATTTAATCTACAAGGAAAGAGGAGTACTTCTTAAAGTTTTTTCTTTAATTTCTTTAACTTCTACTATTTCTAAAAATTAACACTACCAATTGTACATCATGAACTAATTTGTTTCGTATTTTCTCTCCAATTAACATAATGTTAACAAATTTGGGTGCTTAATGATAAAAGGGAGACCAAGCATCGATCATAGGCGGGGTGATTGAGTTCATCAAGGAATTGCAACAAGTTGCGCAAGCCCTAGAGGCGAAGAAGAGAAGGAAGAGTCTAAGCCCAAGCCCAAGTCCAAGTCAATTTCAGATTAGTCCACGTCAACCTGAAAGCCCATTGCTAATGGGGATGAACGATTCTAATTTCAAGGAACTCGGTGCATGCTGCAACTCACCAATTGCTGACGTGGAGGCCAAAATATCTGGCTCAAATGTCCTCCTAAGGACGATATCGAAACGTATACCCGGCCAAATTGTTAAGATAATCAGTGTTTTGGAAAAACTCTCGTTCGAGATTCTCCACTTGAACATTAGTAGCATGGAGGATACAGTTCTGTACTCCTTCGTCATCAAGGTGTGTGTGAGAGTGCATTAATATTATACCTATGAGTATGTGTGTTTGTGTTTTGTTAAGGCTTTGTGACCATCTAAGTCAACACCATTAACAACATCTAAGAATACTTAATTAGCACACATAAAATTTCGAGGCAAAAATTCAATTTTTGTCCATTTATTTGTCTAAAGTCCTTTTTTGGTGCACTAACTTTCTCCTCGTCAATAATAGTACGTTATGTTGCAATTTATATCATTGTTGAAACATTATCCCGAAAATGGTTTACTATTTTTTGGGATTAATATCCTAAAAATGATACAAATTGCAACATAACGTACTGTTTTTTATGAGTAATGTCAAAAAAATGATACAAATTACAACATAACTTACTATTTTTGATTAGGTGTAAGTTAGTGTACCAAAAAAGGAATTTAGACAAATAAACGAACTAAAATTGAAATTTTTCCAAAATTTGGGTGTATTGTTATACCTATAACTCTGTATTTGTGAGTGTTCTATTGTTTTGTGGATAAGTGGATCAGTTTATGATAACTTGTATTTTATTTGTGTTTTTTTTTTTATGAAAATGATGACAGATAGGGCTGGAGTGCCAAGTGAGCGTGGAAGAACTAACCCTTGAAGTTCAGCAAAGTTTCTGCTATGATGGTCTTATTAAAGATGTGCATGTTTAGTTAGCCCTGCCTTTTTGTGCAGTAACTAACAGAACATTCTATATATTGAAAATATGTAACCTAATTATGTTCCACTTTCGAATATTTAAAGAAATTAATGATAAAATTTGTAATATTCTTTGCATTATCGTTCTTCCTGAACATGTAAACTTAATACTACTTTTAGCTGCTGACTGCTGTCTTTTTAACGGGAAACCAAGATTTTCAGACGTGCTGTAAAAAAATAAAATAAAATAAAAGGTATGAATTTCAATGGGGTTTGAAAGATGAGAATAATTTTAGTCCTCTAAATTTTAAACAGTTGGACTTTCGTATTTTAATTTTGATTCAGTACACTATATTTTAATTGTTTTTGTTACAATTTTCATCAAATTGTAAATTTTCTTATAAGACTGATGACGTGGTCGTAAGATTTGGATGGTTAATATTATTTCTGGATCAATTGTGTCCAATAATTTTTTAGGATTATAAATTTGATAGTAACTTTTAATTTTATTCAATTTCGTCCAATGATGTTTTGGAATGAATTTGGCACATAAAAAATCTAAATTTCACGTCAATTTCTTTCAATCATCACTTGCTAGCCTAGTTTTTATTGTGGATTTATGATGAGAAACTTACCAAACCCCGTATCAAATTAAAACTTTCGATCCGATCTATCCAATTTTTTATACTTTTTTTGGTCCAACCATACGATTATCCAATCAATGGAAAGTCATAATTAAACCCTCCAAAACACTTTAGAGCATCTCCAATGTGACTTTTGGCATTGTAAAAATTTATCCATATCATCAACTCTTGAAATTTTGTTACTAATTTATTCTCCAATGCATCTTGTCATTAGCTCTTTCATGATGATGTGGATGGCATTTAATATTGACATTGTTGAACTCACTTTCTAATATCTAACACCATGTTAAACATGATGACTCATCAATTCACTTTATATTTGATTTATTTTTTTATTATTTTTGTATCAATCAATTATTATAATTGGTCCACCTATACAAGTAACTTCTTATCAAATTGATGCATTGGAGATACTAATTTGATTCAAATTTTCATTCTTTTAACATTATTCCTATGTGGATTAACATTACAATCATTAATTGACATGTGTTATAAATCATTGGCTTTCAAAAGCATAGCATTTTAAACGATAAATCACAACCTTGGTTGGTCATTCTCTTTGTCAGAGATCCAATAATCAGATTTTTATGAACATTTCATATACCACTTGGATATAAATAAATCTGTTGAAAATTGATTTTTTTAGTTAGTCAAAGTTAATTTTAAGATTAGTTGTTAGTGTAATTTTAAATTTATAATAAAATATTATTAAAAATAAAATAATTAAAATTGGTTTGAGGTGAAAGTAGGAGAAAGATGGTGTGAAGTAATGAGTTCGTTAAAATTATGTGAGTTGATGAATAATAAATTAAAGTAGATGTTATGTGTAAAAATTATTGATATTATTTAATTATATAATATGCAGGATAACAAGGCTGAGTTAAAGTTGGGTCAAATTTTATGTATGAATTGAATTCATGCATAAACAAACACACCCTTAAGGTTCGGCCTTTTTATAGTGCGTGGATTCACTGTCTTTAATTTATTTATTTTTTTAGAACTACAGATTTTATAGATAATCACATATTTACAATACTAAAAACAGTTAGTAACAACCGACCCAAACAACTATACGACTGAATCCAAAGAGAGGTCTACACGTTGAAACAACAGTATTCTAGAAACAACTACATTAAAATACACTAACAAGGCTAATAAACTATGATACTACGATCACAAAAGTAGAGAATTCTAACGCCAATAATGGAGAATAAAAACATTAAACAAACACAAACACAGACTAAACACACTAAATACTAAAATATAAAGCCCTCCCCAACAGCCAACATGTTATTCCACCCAAGAATGATAGGACCACGGCTCAAAAGAAAAACGAAAAACTCCAACCACCACAATATGGCAATGGCTAACTAGAACCGCCACCCCTCGAAGCGGATCCCCCTTCCATAGAGGTCACCCTAGGAGCACCCGGAGCCCAACACCTAATCATTCCCCCAACACGACTCCAACGACGCGCCAAATACTCTAGAGAAGAAAAACACGCCCCCGTCGAAGAAAGTCCAGCAGACCAACCCCAGGAAAATCGGAAAGACGTAGAAGAGAGAGAAGTCGCTAGACCGACTGTTTAATTGTTTTTAGCCGAATATGATCGAAGGATCTCACTCGGGTCGTCTCTCAAAGGAAAACAGTTTAGAGCTTCGTCTAAGTATTAGTTGTTCAAAGTACAAAAACAAAAAAATAAAGTCCTAAACATATTAAGCATGATGATTGGGATTGATTTTAAGCTAATTGCAACTAAGAATTGAGAGCAATGAAGTAAAAATGCAAGCTTTGGAAGAAAGATTTGAACTTTGGTTATCCGGAGAACTATTGACTTGATGAAAATGAAAATAAACGAAGAGAAACATGCTAGCGATAAGATCTTAGGTAGTAAAATCGAGTCTTCTTAAGTAAATGATCACGTTATAAACAAAGTCGAGACCTTTATAATAATATAAGCACTAATTTAACTCTTAACACTTAAACACGCAAGAAAAATATAGCAAAGTCCTAATAGAACTTCGCATAGACACAAGATTTCGGCCAAGACACCAACTTAACCTCTATAAACATCATAAGCAAGAAGGAAAACAAACTCGAAGTAATAAGCCCTAATAAAGGTACTTACTCTCCTATTGCAAGCTGGGACGAAAATAATACGTAAAGATCGAATCTTGAATAAAAATAGAGTTGCCTGAAAATCTCAAGTCTTGGATCTCCCAAACACAAAGCATAAAAAATAAAAGAAAGAAATTCCCAAAAGAGAAAAGTGGGAAATGAAAGCTTAGGTACTCCAAGTACAAAGGAAGGAATGCATTTATACCCACACCTTAAATACACACTCAAAACGCACATATCAAGTAAAAAACACTCGCAAGGTTACGCAAATAGTGTCGGGTCGTGAGTGTGTGGCCTAGACCGCCTCGGATTCGCGAGCATGCGACAAGTGTCGGGTCGCGACTGATTTCTCGGCACAGGTGGGGACTCGCGACCACGCAGATGGATGCTCGGGTTGCGAGTATGGCAGGTTGCTCAGCACGGGACTCTCGATGCCGCAGATGAGGACTCGCGTCGCGAGTGTGGCAGTTGGCATGGTATAGGACTCGCGAGGTCGAAAAAGGCTATGCTGGGTCGCGAGTGTCTGTCTTGCGCGGCCATGACTCGCGTGCTCGCGGACGCTGTTTCGGGTTGCGAGTTCTCGGGTTCCATTGGCAGCATTCGCGTGGTCGCGAGCTGGCGTCTGGGTCGCGAGTGCCTGGTCTCACGTGGGACGTTGGGCGCGAGCGTGCATGGGTAGGCTCGGGCCATTGCTTTCGGCGAGTATGCTGCGTTGCCTCGGGTCTCGACTCTCTCTCTCTCTCGCATGCTCGAATGGTTTGGATAATGGTTTAGATGGCTCAGGCGGCTCATTTTCCCAAGTTTTGTACAATGGACCTAATCAACACCAAAAAGACGAAAAAATACGTCGAACCAAAAAAACACACGACGAACGTAAAAATACACGAAACACGATAAATTGAAAACGAACCTAAAAGGACTCGACTAAGGCATGAAAAATACACAAAAAACACGACAAAAAAACAACAAACAACTCCCCATCACTTAACTCATTGTTTGTCCTCAAGCAAACAAAACAATAAGTACCTCGGTAAGAAACATTGAAAAGTTCATAAATACTAATCGAGCGAATTGTAACTCTTCTTCCTTCAGTTATCCATAAAATTAAACTCAAATTCAAAAATACAGTCCCCACAAAATGAATTCATACGAAACAAAAACTCGTCCTAAGTCATTCCACATATGATTTACTCGATTCAAACTTCCTTTTTCAAATACACGTCCAAAAAGCTATAAACGGTCCACTCAACATATAATAGACAATAAACACGAAACCAATAAGGCAAACTCCTCTCTCTCTCTCTCTCTCTCTTTTATTTTTCTTTTTTTTACATGAGTCACTTTTTCCAAATGAGAGTCACAAGGACTATTATTACCTAGATTTAACCTCGGGGTTCGTCCCAGAGTCTCCTAGGTTAGTTTCTCGTATTCATTGATCCGATCCATCTAGAAGGACACTAATCGGGTTAAACGGAGTCTAATCCCTACAATTCTCATGAGCTCATTTAATTATATATGTTTTGTAACGCCTTGTTCGTTTATTAGAATTTTCGGGATTTTTATATTAGTATTATTATTTTGCTTATATCGAACATTTGCCTTAATATATTTAATTTTCGGTTGTGATATAAACTGCTCGTCTTATTTGTCTACTTGATATAAATTGATATGTGGCTAATATATGTGATTATTATATGTTTATATATTAATTATGTGTGTTAAGATTATTCAGGATTTATTGAATATAAATTCTAAACTGTTTCGGCGATTTTCGGTTTAATTGCGTAAACCGAATTAAATCCGTTTTCGAGTCGTTTTGACCCGAATCTCGAACACTTATTTCTCGACCCATTTATGGACGTTTTTTGGTCCATTTAACCCTTGAAAAACCGAACCTATGTGCTTATGGTGAACAATTTTTGCCTTAGACATAATTTCCTTCTTTTGATTTGAATTCAAATAAATGGCATAGCATTTTTGGTATTAACTTTGTGGAATTTTGGATCAGCCTTATAGCTGATTTTTCATCCCTAAATCACGCCATTTTGACCCCCAAAATAGAGGAAGTGAGGATAAAATGTTATTTCCATTATCTCTCCCCAAATATATCAAAGTCGTTCATCTTTTCTTCACCATAATTCTCCCCTCATCTTCCCATATTATCTTCGAACCACAACAGCAGGAAAGGACTAGGAAAATCCCACCGAAAACATCTCTCAAAGGCCATCTAATAGCCACCATTCAAATCGGCTCAAGCCCTCGCACGCGATCACCCCGGCTAGTGCATCACAGCAGCCCGTCTCGTCCTTCTCTCGACTCGTTTTCGTGTGTTATACCCGAGAACAGTACTCGATGGCTTAAACCCTC